GAAGTCAGATGACTTAAAACAGCTGAAGACCTTTCCTGCAAAACCACCAAGAATCTTTCAACCTGTGTTTATATTCCAATTATGTAAAGCCTAACTTCAGGGCACAGGTTCACAAAAGTCAAAAAACAGGACTTGCATTTCTTTAGCTATTTCACAACTTTTGGCCATCTGGAGTTTTTTTTGTATCGAAACATATTAAACATAATGAGCGAAACTGAGGTTTTGGTCAAGAAAAAGAAGGGAGCATATGTCAGGTATAGACAGCAGAGATTGAGTGAATCCCTAGAAGAGTATAAAGGCAGGAGGAGTATACAAGAGGGAAATCAGGAGGGCAAATAGGGTTAAGGAGAATCCAGAGGGATTCTACAAATACACCAAGGACAAAAGGGTAACTAAGGAGAGAATAGGGTCCCTTAAAGATCAGCAAGGCCACCTACGTGTGGGACCACAGGAGATGGGGGAAGATACTAAATGAGTATTTTGCATCAGTGTTTACTGTGGAGAAGGACATGGAAGACAGAGAACATGGGGAAATAAATAGTTAAATTTTGAAAAATGTCCATATTACAGAGGAAGAGATGCTGAACATCTTAAAACACAAAGGTGGATAAATCCCTGGGACCTGATCAGGTGTACCCTAGAACTCTGTGGGAAGCTAGGAAGAGATTGCTGGGCCCCTTGCGGAAATATTTGTATGATCGATAGCCACAGGTGAGATGCCGGAAGATTGGAGGGTGGCTAACGTGGTGCCATTATTTAAGAAAGGTGGTAAGGAAAAGCCAGGGGACTATAGACCGGTGAGCCTAACATCAGTGGTGGACAAGTGTTGGAGGGAATCCTGAGGGACAGCATTTAGATACATTTGGAAAGGCAAGGACTGATTAGGGATAGTCAACATGGCTTTGTTCGTGGGAAATCATGTCTCACTAACTTGATCGAGTTTTTTTTGAAGAAGTAACAAAGAGGATTGATGAGGGTACAGTGGTGGATGCGATCTATATGGACTTTGGTAAGGCATTTGACAAGGTTCCTCATATTAGGCTGGTTAGCAAGGTTAGATCATGCGGAATACAGAGAACTAGCTAAAGGTTGGAGACAGAGGGTGATGGTGGAGGGTTGCTTCTCAGACTGGAGGCTTGTGACCAGTGGTGTGCCACAAGGATCAGTGCTGGGTCCACTGCTTTTGAATGTAGGACGTGTGGTTAGTAAGTTTGTAGATGACTTTAAAATTGGAGGTGTTGTGGACAGAGAAGAAGACAGAGTACAATGAGATCTTGATCAGATGGGCCAATGGGCTGAGGAGTGGCAAATGGAGTTTAATTTAAGTAGCTGTGAGGTGCTGCATTTTGGAAGGCAAATCAGAGCAGGACTTATATACTTAATGGTAAGGTCCTGGGGAGTGTTGCTGAACAAAGAGACATTGGAGTTCAGGTTCATAGTTCCTTGAAAGTGGAGTTGCAGGTAAATAGGATAGTGAAAGAGGTGTTTGGTTTGCTTGCCTTTATTGGTCAGTGCATTGAGTACAGGAGTTGGGAAGGTCATGTTGTAGTTGTACAGGACATTGCTTAGGCCATTTTTGGAGTATTGCATGCAATCTTATTCTCCCTGCTATAGGAAGGATGTTGTGAAACTTGAAAGGGTTCAGACAAGATTTAAAGGATGTTGCCAGGGTTGGAGGGTTTCAGCTATAGGGGGAGACTGAATAGGCTGGGGCTATTTTCCCTGAAGTGTCAGAGGCTAAGGGGCAACCTTATAGAGGTTTCTAAAATCATAAGGTGCATAGAAAGGGTATATAGCCAAGATCTTTTCCCTGGGATGGGGGAGTTCCAAAACTAGAGAGGCATAGGTTTAAGGTGAGAGGGGAAGACATAAAAGGGACCTAAGGGGCAACTTTTGCACACAGAGGGTGGTGCATGTATGGAACGAGCTGCCAGAGGAAGTGGAGGAGACTAGTATGGGTACAACATTTAAAAGGCATCTGGATTGGTATATGAATAAGGAGGGTTTAGAGGGATACGGATCAAATTCTGGCAAATGGGACTAGATTTATCTAGGATATCTGGTCAGCATGGACAAGTTGGACTGAAGGGTCTGTTTCCGTGCTGTATATCTGACTCTATATTCACCATTACATGCAGAAATGTGGGGGCCATTTACACACAGCAGGCCCCACAAGCATCAATGGCAGTTGATTTTTCTCCTGAACTTGCTAAGGTTGAAACACTCGGGAAAAGTGAGGCATGTGATCCCTGTCTTGCTTAGTGATAAAGAAGAATAGTTGAACTTGAAATATTAGCTGTTTCTCTTTCCACAGATGCTGCTAGACAGACCTGCCGAGTTCTTCCACAGGGACAATTTCTTCTTCGACAGTCTGGTTCACTCATCCATTACTCCTAAAACTTCCTCCCCCTTACTATGGCACCTTCTCATGCAATTGCACTTGTCCATTCACCTTCTTGCTCCTCTTGTCCAAGGCTCCAACATACCTTCCAGGTGAAGCAGCATTTTACTTGTACTTCGATGTATTCACTGCTCACAGTGGGATTTCCTTTACATTGACAAGACTGAATTTGGGCTGGCTAACTGTTTTGTGCAAGACTGACCTGACCTTCCAGTTGCTGGAGATATCAGTAAATAATCTTGCTTTCATGCTAACATTTCCACCCTGGGCCTGCTAGGTGTTCCAAGGAACCTCAATGCAAGTTTGAGGAACACCACCTCATTCTTCAGTTTCACATTTTACAGCCTCTACAGACTCAACAATCTCAGAGTAATAAAAAGCAAAATACTGCAGAATATTAAACAAATGCAGATAATGCTGGAGAAACTCAGCAGGTCTGACACCATCTGTGGAGAGAGAAACAGAGTTAACTTGGTGAGTCCAATCTGACTCTTCTTCAGAAGTTAAGAATAAGACCTCTTTCTCCAACTTGATTACAACACTGCACCTGCCCCCATCACCACCACCGCAACCACATGGGCTATGCTTTATTGGCTTTGCTTTCAGCAGAGTGGTTGCATTTTCTCTTTTTCACACCTAACATTTATACCTATTTTACATCTCTATCGTTCCTGAACCTCCATTGTCTTTTGCTCAAGGCATATTCGTAATTTGTTGTACTCACTCTTCCTCACCTCTGTCAACAGCACAAAACCACCATTTAATAGCCTATTTCGAAGACGTCATACACTCAATGTTAATTGTTTCTCTCTCAAAACATAGTACCACACCTACGCCTGCCTCTTTGTAGGTTATGTGGAACAATCCCTCTTCTGTACCTACACCGGCCCTAAACCCCACCTCTTCCTCCGTTACATTGATGACTGTATCGGTGCCGCCTCGTGCTCCCACGAGGAGCTCGAACAGTTCATACACTTCACTAACACCTTCCACCCCAACCTTAAATTTACCTGGACCATCTCTAACACCTCTCTCCCCTTCCTGGACCTCTCTGTCTCCATATCGGGCAACCACCTCGAAACCGATATTCATTTCAAGCCCACCGACTCCCACAGCTACCTAGAATACTCCTCCTCCCACCCACCTTCCTGCAAAAATGCTATCCCCTATTCCCAATTCCTTCGCCTCTGCCGCATCTGCTCCCAGGATGAGGCATTCCACTCCCGTACATCTCAGTTGTCCTCGTTTTTCAAGGACCGTAACTTCCCCTCCTCGGTGGTCGAGAACGCCCTCAACCGTGTCTCCCACATCTCCCGCACCTCATCCCTCACACCCCGTCCACGCAATAAAAACCAAAAAAGAATCCCCCTCGTCCTCACGTACCACCCCACCAACCTCCGGATCCAACGCATCATCCTCCGACACTTCCGCCATCTGCAATCCGACCCCACCACCAAAGACATCTTTCCCTCCCCACCTTTATCTGCTTTCCGGAGGGACAACTCTCTCCGTGACTCCCTTGTCCGCTCCACACTCCCCTCCAGCTCCACCACACCCGGCACTTTTCCCTGCAACCGCAGGAAGTGCTACACCTGCCCCCATACCTCCTCCCTCACCCCCATCCCAGGCCCCAAGAAGACTTTCCACATCAAGCAGATGTTCACCTGCACATCTGCCAATGTGGTATACTGCATCCGCTGTACCCGGTGTGGCTTCCTCTACATCGGGGAAACCAAGCGGAGACTCGGGGACCGCTTTGCAGAACACTTACGCTCGGTTCGCAACAAACAACTGCACCTCCCAGTCGCGAACCATTTCAACTCTCCCTCCCATTCCTCAGACGACATGTCCATCCTGGGCCTCCTGCAGTGCCACAACGATGCCACCCGAAGGTTGCAGGAACAGCAACTCATATTCCGCTTGGGAACCCTGCAGCCCAATGGTATCAATGTGGATTTCACAAGTTTCAAAATCTCCCCTCCCCCTACCGCATCCCAAAACCAGTCCAGCTCGTCCCTGCCTCCCTAACCTGTTCTTCCTCCCACCTATCCCCTCCTCCCACCTCAAGCCGCACCTCCATCTCCTACCGACCAACCTCATCCCGCCCCCTTGACCTGTCCGTCCTCCCTGGACTGACCTATCCCCTTCCTAACTCCCTACCTACACTCACCTTTCCTGGCCCCATCCCCACCTCTTCGACCTGTTTGTTTCCTCTCCACCTATCCTCTCCTCTATCCCTCTTCTATCCGCCTCCCACTCTCTCCCTATTTATTTCAAAACCCCCTTCCCCTTTTCTGATGAAGGGTCTAGGCCCGAAACGTCAGCCTCTCTGCTCCTATGATGCTGCTTGGCCTGCTGTGTTCATCCAGCCCTGCACCTTGTCGTCATAGTACCACACCTGCTGAGTTTAAGGCGGCTATCAGATGTATGAGAAGTAAGCCATTTGATCCCTTGGATTGCGTCACCACTCAGTGAGATCATGGCTGATTTGATAATTGTCAGCTCCACTTTCCTGCCTTTGCCTATAATCCTTGATTCCCTTATTGATTAAGAATCTAAAAAGGGCAGGTAGAATTTAGTCAGTTAGCATAGTGTAATGCATTTTTGCCATTATTTTTATTCTTTTATTTATTCACTGGTGGGAGGTGGGTGTCACTGGCTCCTTCCCTGGTCTGGGTCTGCATGTGGTTCCAGACCCACAGCAATGTGGTTGACACTCAACTGCCCTCTGGGCAAGTAGGGATGGACAATAAATGCTGGTCTAGCCAGTGTTACCCAGATTCCGTGAACGAATGAATGAAAATAATCCATCCAGAACACATAACAATCCCCTTTCCAAATCTTCCGCTCCATAACTTGGAGTTGTCTCTATTTGTGAAACCTCTTAGTCTATAACATGCATTATTAAACAATGGGTTAATTGTTTATGTCGATCTAAATGTGATGTATTGAGCATCATTGCCTCCAATCCTGTGGTCCTCCAACCGATAGGAGCGCCACATTCTTTCCACTTCAACGTTCCTTGGGATATAAAAAACAAGAAAACATGAACGGAAACAGACCACGGAGGAGTGACCTGCAAAGAAAAACTTTTTAAAAATGTTATGAAATACGCGTGAACTTTTTTTTTTTAAAAAGTTTGCACCAGTCAGAGCTGCCAGAGTGAAATTGGCATTGACAGATACCGTGGATACGCATGCGTACTCCGCAGAAAGTGTTGGGTAGCGCATGCGTATGAAGTTTGCCGGCAAACACATTCAAGACGCATGCGTTTTTTTTTTGCCGGCGGCGGGCCGGTACAGCGCACGCGTATTGAGTCACCGGTGCTTTACCGTCAAGACGCATTCGAGTTGGCCCGTAGTGCGCATGCGTACGCACTGCCCGTCGCCGCGTCTGGCGTTTTTTTTGCCGCAGTCGTAGCGGCTGCGAGCGAGTGAGCGGCGCGGGCCGGAGCAGCAAATGAATTCATGATCTTACCCACAGTTTAACTATGCAGTCCTGTCAGCTCCACAGAAAGTAAGTGTCTGCACAGCGTCGTCGTCGCTTGGTGGATCTTGCTCCGCGCCCTGGCTGGTGTTCGTTTAAATTATTGCGGTGGCGTCGGACGCTTAACAAAAGAGGGGCGGGCGCCGGATAACAAACGGAAGGCCCGCCTCCTGCCCGTCACCGATAGGTGTTTTATGCCCTTAATGGGCGGGGCCCTGCTACAGTTCCCGGCACTCCATTGGTTAATCGCTTTGTCCATTACGCCAGCTGCTGCCTTACTTCCGGCAGGGAGATGGGTTTGAGAGCTCGGGAGGGTTTTTTCCTGCTTTCTCTCTTCCAAAAGTGTCTCTAAATGAAATTTTACGATCGCGGGGATATTTTCTTATACAATAACGCTTTAAACGATGCATAACAAACGCCGCCGGTCTTGTGTAGAGGTTGCTGCCTTTGCAGAGAATATTTAAGAGTAAGAATTTGCCAGTTGTGTCTATTTAACTTTTTAAATGTCTGAAATTTTCTCTCGAATTCATGTCCAAAATATTTGATTTTTGTTTTGGGAGGGTGTTTGCACCTCGATACGTTGAGATTGGTGCAAATGGCAACCACACCGGTGTGTCATTTTGTGTTTTTTTTTTAAAATTTCAAATTTCCCAAGAAGTGCTGAAGTTAACTTATCCTCAAAAAGTTTATTTTAAAAACGTTTTAAATGATGAGAATGGGAGGCTAAATGCATCTTGAAATGCAGCCGCTGAGGCGTCAGTCTGGCTTGTCAGTCTGGCTTTGTGTGTGTGTGAATTTTTTCTCTCCTGTGTCAAGCCTTTTCTTTAATGCGCTCATTTTAAAAGGGCAACTTCAAAGAATGCTACTTAAAATGCCGTATTTCAAGGCGAGGGTTGTTGTCCGCTCTGCAAATCTCTATTAAACCCAAGCCGTCTGCCCGTGTCACATGAAGATTAATGTGGGGAGAGAAAATCGCTGCTTGATTTGAATTGCCAACCCCTTTTCATCTCCCATCATGAGGGATTGTGGTGCTAGGCGGTGGCATAACCTTATGGCTGATGCAGGGTTTAATCAGCGGAGGCAATCTGCAATCTTTTACAGTACGCCATTGTTACAAAGGCATTTCCCCTTCTCGTCCCGTTTTTTAAAAAACAGTTTATCTTGAATTGATTAGCAAGGAATCCAGCGTGACTAATCATTTGCGCAGAACGGCAGGAGTTTGTCATTAAATATTCCTCCCCCCCACCCTCAGCATAACAATTAATTTTGATCGTGCGACATTGTTGTACTTTAAATGTGTGGTCCTTTTTTTTTAACTTGTGAATTGTCAGAGAACAAAACACACGGAAATGAGGCAATGTGGGGAGAATTAGAGCTGAAATTATTTTTCACTGTGTTTTATTTGTGTGGTGGTGGTGGTGGTGGGGAGGTGGGTGAGATAGGTGGGAACACTGAAATTGTGAATATGAGCCATGAAATTCTCGAAGAAGCTGCTCATTGTGAGTAGATGGAGACTGTCTTATCTCTAGCCGGAGAGATAAGAGAATGAATTGCTGGCCTGTTTCTGAACCCTGCTTTTTAATGAGTCGGTTGCTAGGCAAATTTCATCTTGATCAGTTTAATCCTCAAGATGTCGTTTACACTTTGACGCTCGGTAATGCAGGCAACTTGCTCCTATTTAAGTCTTTTTACACAGCAGTTGAGGCTTTCAGATGTCCAAGCCATATACTTAAAACTTGAGCTGTGATATAATTTTCAATGGACCTTGCAAGTGTTTTGGTTGACTTGCCATATAATTATGTTGATGTTTTTTAAAAAAATTCTTGTACTAAAACTACATTTTCTAAATGTCTGCACATTTAACTAATTGGGATAATTAAAGCAAGAGGACAGTAATTTCCTAGGGAGTCAGATTTTACGTAAATGTTTTCTGATTGTTCCCATGTGAATGTCTTTTTCAAGAGAGCCCCTGTTGTTTAAACACAGGTTTCAAGTTCTGAAGCTCATTTAATATTGTGCGTGTATATTTTCTGCTTTTGTAGGATGGGATATAATTTATTCTCAAACACCTGTTTAGCTTCATACATCACTGAAAGGGTGTTTATTTAGGCCTGACTTTTAAAGCATGCTGAATAAACAGAAGTGCCTGAAAATTTTCATTTGTGCTGGAGGTTGCTGGCTTCCTAGGTGTGAGTCAGAAAAGACTGTGTTAGTTATGCTATATAGTTTAAGTCTAATAGTGCTTCAACAGTATTTCCTGTTCCTGGAGAGGTCATGGAGTAAAGTGTACTGTAAATTTTGAACACTGCAATGAGTGCCAGTCATTCCCCAGAATTTAATTGAAAAGAGGTAATGACTGTTGACAAATTACCAATTCCCCCAGCTACTGTCTGGGGAACTGCAAGGAGGAGGGTGATAAGATTGTTGGTAGGATATACTTAATTTGCCAAAGCATTATTATATTGGGGTTTGAATGGACATAGTGTCATAGAGGTATACAGCACAGAAACAGACCCTTTGGTCCAATTCATCCATGCCAACCAGATATCCTAAACTAATCTAGTCCCATTTGCCAGCATTTGGCTCTTATCCCTTTAAACCCTTCCTATTCATAAAGCTATCCAGCTGCCTTTTAAATGTTGTAATCGTACCAGCCCCCACCACTTCCTCTGGCAGCTCATTCCGTCTGTGTGGAAAAAGTTGCCTCTTAGGTCCCTTTTTTAAATCTTTCCCCTCTCTCTCCTTAAACCTATGCCCTCTAGTTTTGGATTCCCCCACCCCAGGGACAAGACCTTGTCTATTTACCCTACCCATGAACCTCATGATTTTATAAACCTCTATAAGTTCACCCCTCAGCCTCCAACATTCTAGGAAAAATAGCCCCAGTCTATGCAGCCTCTCCCTATAGCTCAAACTCTACAACCCTGGCACTGTCCTTGTAAATCTTTTCTGAGCCCTTTCAAATTTCACAACATCCTTCTTATAACAGGGAGACCAGAATTGCATGCAGTATTCCAATAGTGGCCTTGCTAATGTCCTGTACAGCCGCAACATGGCCTCCCAATTCCAGTACTCAATGCACTGTATAACAGCCATCACATCTTGCTTCCTCTTGTGAATTAAAGTCGCTCTTGATAGGTTGCTGGATTTCTCGAAGTCTACTCTGGAGCTGGAACCGAGCTCAACTTTTAAATATGAAGTTTGCTTGTGATGAGTTTTCAGATCTGATATTTACAGCCAGAAGTTGGAAATCTCCAGACAGCAAGCTGTTGAGCTTCTTTGTCATGTATCTATCAAAATCCAGTTAAACCTCTTCAGAAAGAGGACTGATCATACTGTCTTGCCTCTTATCATTTGTCTTGCCCTGGGATGGTGAGGGGAGGGCTTGTGGAATTTAGGATATTACACCATAATGTCTTGTGGCTCTGAAACCGATCCAACTTTTTGTCTTTGTATTTAACCCTTAGAAATTCTGTAGCAACCATAGTGCACATCCTAACCCATCCCTTGGGATGGCAATTATTAAAACTCTTCTCCTTGATAGAAGGGTACTTAATCAATTTAGAAGCTCAATCTAACCAACTAAAGTTGACTTGAGTTTGTGGATGGCATTCTTGTACCCAAATGTATTCTAGACCAGAGATAGTAGGAACTCTTGTATTCCAGACCAATTGCTATCAAATTGATTCTTGATAAATGCTTTGAGATATTGCTTCAGAATATCGATGTAATTTAGAATTTTCGATGACCGTAGTTCAACCCCTGTGCTGGCCCTGTTCAATCACAACTGAATTAAATTGTTTTCCTTACCATTTTTTATATCCTTTTAGTCTAATTTTGAAGATGTTGAGTTCCTCATTACTTCCAACCTCTTCTTATCCACATAAGAGTATACCAATTCCCATCATAACATTGAGGTATTGCATTTAGTGCCTGTACCTGTGCTATCCAGATCTTGGCTTCTGATCTGCTCAAATTGTTGTTTTGTCATTTGAGTCAGTCTGAGCTCTTTGAGTGGGATGATGAGGATAGGAGGAGTATGGTGATGAAAGCAAAGCCATATATGTTTATGCTCCTTGAACACGCATCCTGCTGCAGGGGCCATGGATAGCAATCAGAAGCTTGAACAGTGTTCTTCCCTTTTTGTTTTCTACTTGACCAACATCAAAGGCATGCAGTGAATAGACTGACTTGGCTGCAGGTACATGGAATATTCAGCCCATTTGTCTTGTGCTCAGTCTGACTTCTTCCTTTCTATACTTTTAACTTTCCCGATAAACGCATCTGATTTATTTCTCTGTCCTCTAATTATCTAATTTCTCCTTTTTTAAATGTACCTATATGATTCATCTCAACTACTTCCTGTGGGAGCAAGACCCCTAATCTTGCCACTCTCTGGGTTTTTAGAAAAAAAATTCTCAAATTCCTCTTATGGACCTGTTAGTGACTATTTTGTATTGCTAATGACTGATTTCTGGACTATCCACAATTGCAATATTCTTTTCTTTATCTATCCTGTCAAACTGTCTTCCATGTTTTGAAAGGCCACCTCGTATTCTTTGCTTTTCTGGGGAAAAGAGCCAATATCTTCACTCTCTCCTACTGAGTGTAATCCCTCAGTTTTGTTATCATCCACAGGAATTTTTGATATCCATTGAATCATTGGAAAGCTTTTATTTCCTTAATTTTCTGCCGCCTTCAGTCTCCAACAGTCATCAATGTGGACATGTTTTGGACATTTCTTTTATATCAGAACAGTTGCAGAGGCCTATCATTTAACTACAACCAGCTTTTAATCACAGTATGAGAGATGAAGGTAGGCCTGATTGAATGCATTTGCTTATATACAAGTCAGTTTGAGTTCTTTGGAACTTCCACCTAGGCAGCAGTTTGAGGTGGAGGGGCTGGAAATGATAAAATTGTCCTGAAAGCTCTTTAAGACACTTCAAATTACAAATAAACCTATTTCTTGCAGTGAACATTTTCTGCTTGGCACAGGAGTCTTGCGCCCTGAGTGCATTAAAATGTGATTTAGTGCACCAGAAAGGGGTGGAACAGTGGCTCAGTGGTTAGCACTGCTGCCTCACAGTGCCAGGGACCCAGGTTTGATTCTACCCTCTGACAACTGTGTGAAGTTTGTGCATTTCTACTGTGCTTGCGTGGCTATCCTTCCACAGTCCCAAGACGTGCAGGTTAGGTGGATTGGCCATGGGAAATGCAGGGTTATGGGGATAGGGCAAGGTCTGCGTGGGATGCTGTTTAGAGGGTCGGTGTGGACTTGATGGGCTGAATGGCCTGCTTCCACACTGTAGGGTTTCTAAGATTCTTTGTTCTATATTTAGATTATGTAGTTGTTAATAATTAACAAGCATTTCAGATCAAAATGCAGCAATTGTAACTGGGTTCCAAAACCTTTTCAAATGTGCAGTGACTTGGAGCCAGGAACATTTGGGTTTAACTTGTTAC